GGTGCCAGCTGTTTGCCTGGTGGCCACACTCCATGCCCCATGAGCAAGGCTGTCTGTAGCAGAGTAACTGGAAAACAGGTCCTCTGCCCTTGAAAATCAGTCAGTCCATCTTCCCCTGCTGCGCTTTCAGGTGTGTCACAGTTGCTTGTAAATGAACAGTTATTTTCTTAGTTATTACTATAAGACTGGCCTATTTCAAGTATACAAGGCCACTTTTGCTTTGCTTCCTGAGGTCTGTGGCTAAAATTCCACTCTGTCTGTGTTCTCCTTGTTTGTTCATGTATTTACCCTGTGCTCGTAAAGACACCAAAACATGCTGAATCTCAGATGTTATATAAAAAGATCATGCCTCCCAGTCTGGAAAATATCTAAATAATCCCAAGTTGTAGTATGTCCAGCTTGGTTTTGAAGGGGCAACAGCTATCAATATTCTGGTCATTTTCCTTCTGTATTTCTTCTCTCTCCACAAAGTAAGTTGGGAACTGGCAGCTCCTACTCAAAGCAGAGCAGATTTTCTTTCTGCATACATGTATACCATGTCTGTCACCTTGTATATGGGATGCCATGTTTGCCAGCATTCAGAGACTGATCCCCATCTCTCACCCTTGGTGGGAGAGAGAGCTCAGAATGTTTTGTGGTTTGTTGCACCTTTGGGCAGACCATAGAGGGGAGGGAAAACTGAGCTGGACATGTTGTCTGTGCATTTAATCCTTGCCTCTCAGTATCTTGCCAGGCCATAGCATGGATGAATACATGCATGAATACACTGAAAACAAACTTTAAAATGTCTTGCAGTTGTGACTGTAGTACAGAAAACAGTTGCAGACTCCAAGTATGTAATAAGATATAAAAGTTAGAATGACTTCTTGCAATAAAGTTTTCTCTTTAAAGGAACAGTATGATATATTTGTGTCCTAAATTCACCAAGGATGTTCCTGTATATGCAAATGGAAACAATGAAACATTGAAAAGCTTTTCTAAAGATGACTTTGTCAGATAAAAATTATATAGAATAAGTGTTAGTTCTTGGAGTAAGGTTTGATTTTGAGTCACATGGTGAGCTGGAAAGAGATTGCTCTGCAGTTAAGTACACTTGCTGCTCTTGAAGAGGACCCAGCATTAGTTCCCAGCACCTACGTGATAGTTTGCAGCTATCTGTAACTTCAATTCCAGAAGATCTGTTACCCTCTGGCCTCCAACAGTAACTGCACATAGATGATGCATATTGTTAAATTTTTGTTTAAATTGAAGATAAAGAAGAAAAGAGAGGTGGATGAGACATGTTAACCAATTGATTATTAGGCCCGGCAGAGTAGGGAGACTGAGAGAGAAGAGAAACAGGGGTAATGGCTGACCGCCATGACCGGTCGCCATAGAGAGGCAGAGAAAGACAGAGAGAAGAGCAGAAGCAGAGAGAAGAGTAGAGAGTGTAGAGAGAGGAAGAGAGAGAAGTGTAGAGAATGGGTAAATGGGCAGGGATCTGTCTTTTAAAGGGGTCTTCTGCACCTGCATGCAGACTTAGTTCCCCTGGAACCCTGGGCTGACCAGGATACCACCAGGTAACAGGAGCAAGCCAGCATAATGCCTGAACCTTTCACATATAAACATACTAAATAAATCTTAATGAAAGCACATTTTTAGAAGGATATTATAGACAGAAAAATGTGTTTATGCCAAGTTCATTATTATACCTGAAATACAAATTTTTGTGTTGCAAATTAAGAATTTTTTTTAACCTGTGAACTTCATGGGACTTAATAGCTGCTAGCAGCAGCATTCATGACTGTATATTAGATCTTGTTCTGCCTATTGGAAAAGGTGACGTAGTATTATAAATATGGTATGTTCTTATTATATATGATTGTCCAAGGAATTGAGATTATATATCCACAAATCACACTGTGGGTTAAATTGAGACTTAAAAAGATTCCATTGGGAATTATCTACATAATTTGAGTGGCTTTCAAAATGTGGACTATCAAAAATATAGAATGCTAGCCTAGTACCTGTTATTATATGCCATATGGTTTTAATTTCTGTGGCCTGATAAGATACTGAAAAGAAAAGTCATTTAAATGACTTCCCTTCTTACCCTGCCACAACACTCTCTAAATCCCTACACATGGGAGCTTAGTGGTTTACATGACTGCTACCAAAGAAAAGAGTCTGTCCCCTGTACCCAAACTACTGGCACTTGTCTTCTCTTGAGCGCTTTGCCATCATCAATGACCCCTCAGATATTCAACATGTTTGAGTCTAGAACCCTGGTTCGCTGACCTGGAAGGTGACATTGCCAGGTATAGATGGGGCACTTCATGATTCCTCAAGGCTGCACGTGCATGTAAGAACAGAAAAAACTACAGGTCTCGTCTTAAGGGGCAGGGCAAGCAAGCTAGTAGGGGAAGCTGAGGTTCCTATGCTGTCGAATGGTGTGAGGGCCGGCATTTAAACATAGCTTCAGATCATATGAAAGCAGTCGTCAGAATGATAATGGGGAGAAGTAATTTAATCAATGGATCTCAGTGATGTTCACGTTTCCATTTTTGGTTATTTTTTGTTTGACTGATTTTGGCACATGCTGACCCCAGAGTGGCTCTGCAGTTTTTCTTACCTTTTCTCATGGGAGAGAAAATGGGTTCTCTTTTTAAAAGACCAGGACACTCAGAGTGTGGAGAAAATCGATCAAAATATTAATTAGACTTTTGTTTTGCTAGTTTGCATAGACAGATGGAGTTCTGATCTTTAACAGCACCGTGACTCATGGAACTGCATGTGTACTAGGATGCCATTATTAACACAACAGTAGTTTTCAGCAGTTGGTAATTATTGGCATAATTAAACATTTATCAAGAAATGAGTATTTATCATTCATTAAACTTTCATTAAAAATCCATCTTAGCACAGGCTAGATTAGCCAGTGATTCTCACGTGATAACTTCTTAACTTCTGGCACGAGTATAGATATTTCCATAATAACCAAAGTAGTACACAAGGTAATGTTCCAAGAACTGTGAGCAATTACTGGATTTCAGATTCATTTTGTGCTAAGCATTTGTTAAGGCTTGGACCCAGAGTTAGAAGGTACTTGGCAATATTCTTCAGGGTTTGCAGTATTTGGCACTTTTTAGCAGCCCCGCTAGGAAAACGTGTTACCCTTGGCAAAGGAAAGTTACAGCTAAGCAAGCTCTGTGATGACATTTACATAGCTTAACTTCTCCCATAGATGGCATGTTCACATGTTTTAGAGCATGAAATTCCATAGTGAAAGCCAGAACTGAAGTAATAACTGGTAGAATCTCCCTCTAAATGCTGCCATGAACCTTCTGTTGCCACCCTAAGGTCTCACAGAGCATGTCTTGTGTGCAGAGACATCCAAAGGGTGCATTCAGATGCAGTGACGTAGATACCAATCCCCATCCCCAGAACTGAGGAAGGGAGCTGTGTGGAAGCAGACCTATAGAGATCCAGCTGCCAGCTGTTCTCAACTGCTTTACTCTCATTTCTCTTTTGTTTTCGTTAGCTGCTCACTACAGCTCACGAGTGTGATTCTCACAGAATTCCTTGGTGTTTTGTAGGCATCTGATATGTTAAAAAACATCCACATCTCCTCAAACATTAGTCATCTTCAATTCAACGATAGTTCTAACTTTAAAAAGATATAGTACGCTTTCCTTGGCTATAGTCAGGCTGTTGGCGTAGTAGCAAACAGGAATTCTTATTCCCATTCTAGCCTTAACTTAGTATTCATTGGTCAACCATTCCATGTCCTGCCCACGCCCACCACCCACAACATCTTACAGCCACCACACTCCTCACTGTGCTTTACACAGTGCTAAAGCCATCACTTAGTCGTGATCTCCACCTTCAGCCTTGTTTTCACACATGACAGGACTTGGTTCTTTGGATGGCTTTGGTATTCCATTGTGTATGTGTACCACGATTTTTTACCCAGTTCGTCAGGTGATGAGCATCTAGCTTGTTTCCATTTCTTGGCCATTGTGAATAATGCACAATACATATGCAAGTACAAAGGAATCTTTGGTATACTGGTTTAATCGCTTTAGGTATACCCAGTAGTGGACCTCTAGATCTCTGAAGAACCCTGCTATCTATCTGCATAATGGGTATAAGAATTTACTTAGCCACCAACAGCATACAGAAGAGAAGCTCTCAATGTTTTCATGCTTAAATTACTCAAAGGCTGCAATTTTTAATATGCTTTTATCTATTTTTTGAGGATTTCATACATCTATACAATGTGTTTTGATCATACCCACTTTTCACTTCCTTCCTCCAACTGCTCCCAGATCCCCACCCACAATAACCCTTTCCCAACTTCATGATCTCTTCTTTAAATATATATGTATGTATATTTATATGATTATATATATGCTATTGAGTCCAGCCAGTGTCATTTATTATGTGTATGGTAAAGACCACCTCCCTGAAGAAAGCACTCTTCCTCCCCCAGCAGCCGCTACCAATTGTTCCACCTCTGGGGTGGGAAAGGTGAACTTGTGTGGACTGTTACCCCTGTAGTTACTTCCAGTCTTCTCTTATTTGAGTGAATGTAGAGTCCCGGCCTGCACTCACACTGGCTTGCTAGTATTATTAGCCTTTGTCCTGCACAGTCGTGGGAATGCTTTGTCTGTGTTGGACTTTCTGAGTGTCCTTATCAACACCAGACACGTGGGGGAAAATACCATTAGCTAACGAAGACCATTCAGAAGGCCTCTTCACATATATGCCAGTGCTTCAAACCTTATTTGATATTCAGCAACTTTGTTTTTGTTTTCTCCTGGGCAAAAAATTTACTGTATCAGTGCTTTTATGTCACAAGAATGAATTGAATTTGTACCCTTTAGTGCAAACAACAATAGACAGAGTGGTAACCTAGTGGAAAACAAATAGACACCCCGTCCCTTTTGGGGATTCAGAGAGGTTCAGAAAGATGGAGCTGACGGTAGAGAGGTGGCAGATAAAAAGAGGCCAAAGCAGGGAAGAATCCTGCGGTCATTTATTACTGTGCCATCCTCATAGTGTTTGCTGAACCAAGGTGCAGAATAATGATTCAGACAAATGGCGTTAATCATAGCAGCGGCCCTCCGCAAAGCGCAGTACCTCGCTCCGCGCGCGGCAGGAGGTGTAATCAGATTCTCCAAAACTTGTTCCAGAAAGAGAGAATTTTCTGTCTTTAGTTTTTCTGTGAATGTCTTTCCCGTGGGATATGTCACCTTTAAAAGAAACAGAGTGGTAAGAAAGTGTTCCCACTTCCTGTCTCCTTTCTCCAACCTCAGAAGGAATCATGTTCAACTTCATGATGAATATTTACAGTGAAACTGTATTATTTTTGTAGTTTCTTCATACTCACCAATGTGAGCAAGAGCTATAATGACCAGTCAAAGCCTACCTTCCACAGTCCTGATATGGCTCATCATACTCAATTGCAAATGGTTTTCAGTGGCCCTGTGCCTTGTGGAGCCAAGCTGTGTTGCATGTGGGAGTTGCTGTTCTTTGAGTCAGAGAAGAAGGGGAGGGGAGGAGAGGGGGCAGGGATTGGGATTTGAGGTTGGCCAACTGCTCAGGGTTTCACGCATGCTACGCCGCCCTGCCCAGGGCGTGTCCATGATGTCGGGCTTAGATGTGGCTAGAGGCCAGTCAAAATAGTTCCATCTGTTGTGCTGTGCTGAGTTTTCGGGGATTTGTAAACAGTTAGCCTCACTGGTAGACCATATTGGTAATTTTCAAGGATGTAAGTTCATTAGTAAATCCATGGTTATGTATACTTTCAGGTTCTCTGTTGTGTGTGTCTTTCCTCATCCCTCTATCACACACACTTTGGCTCTTGGTACTGACTGTTGTGTAGAAGGGAAAGCAATTTAGAGATGTGTTTATACATCATGGGGGGGAATTAAGCTGACATGTGGGAGGTTAATGTACACACTTCCAATTCTGTGTTGATTTGCTGTTTTCTTCTTCATAACTCCAGGTAAACAGCCAGAGCTGCCATCTGATGTGCAGGTTAAGTGTAGTTGCAGGCTATTATACATCATTAGAGTGAGTAACAACAGTCATGAAGAAAGATGGAAGCTTGCACTTGTGGCTGCATGGACACTCCATCTGTCATCTCGTACAGCACCACAAAAATTAGTTGCAGCAGCCTTTGTGTAATTTATAGCTCAGTGTGAGGAAATTAAGCTGTGAGTCACACCGCTTTGCATGATTAGCACTAATGTGTTTTGCAACCCCCTCCTTTCCAATGACAAATTTGACCCAAAACTTTTTCTCTGATAACATTTTTGTTGCCCATTTACCAAATACTAAACTTATTGCTGAGCATACAGCTACTTTTTGCAGTTATGAGATGGACGGATGTTGTGTTCTAGATGTGACATCTTGCTTTCTCCTACCATTGTGTCTGTTTGCCTCTACTCTTCATATAAGGGGAGAAAAAGAGCAATGATAGAACAGCCATGACTGCTATGCTGTGTAGCAGCCTGGATCTTAGGCTCCAGCCCTGTATCAACTCAACAATCAAGTTATTATTAATTATATAGTAAACATACAAGGATGTATATTTGTATCTAGCAACTGGCTGGCTAGAATTTTTTTTTTTAAATCACCATGCACAGAAAGGAACAGTGACTGATAAGTACTGGGCCTACAGCCACTGTGCATTACAGCTGGACAGCATATCTTAGGAAATTGTGTGTGTGTGTGATCAGCACATCCCCCCTCTGGAATACATTCCCAGGACCAGTTCTTGGCTTCTGAGGCTTCTGTTAGCTGAGATGCCTGTAATAGGGAGGGGAATCACAGCCGAGTAGGATCCATAGGTATTAGTGTCAAGAAGAATAATGTCTTGCTTGCCCTTTCTTCTGGGTTATTGCATGGTTATACAAAGATAGGGATGAGTTCACAGGAAACAAAGAAACCAGAGGTGGTGGGAACAGGGGATAGGTGGGGGAAGTAACCGAATTGCAGAAATACATGACTCTGGCTGGTGCCAAAAATAATGGGTAGCTCTTTTCTCACAAAGCAGCAGCATGCATAAAGGTGCCTGGCATGGCCATTGCAGGCATCTCACACTGGGGAGGGCGAGCTGGAGCGTGGGACTAACAGAGGGATGGCGAGCATTCTAACAACCCTTGCTAAGTTTTAGCAATAACTTCCCAGCCTTTGCAGATGGATTACAGCAAAAATGAGAAAAATGGTGTAATTCTGTGGTTTCATTTTCATTGTGATTTGCATAGACGAAAACAATGTTGATAGGGGAAAAATATGACTTAGAGGTGGAAGGTAGTGTCACCTAGCAGCTCCTGGGTGTGTGTGGAGCCCTCATTGTTTCACAGGAGAGAATTTATACCATTCGTTGTTAAAATGACATGCCTGAATGAGTCAGACCTGCCTCATCCACACCCAAGATGAGGAACATGATTTATTATCTGTCCTTTGAATTTCTGTGAGCATTCTGTCTAAACTTTAAAAGGGGATTGCATTTGCGATTAAATCTTAACAAATGTTGTTTTAACTAGACTGCAATATATGTTATTGACAACAAGCAACTTTTCTTCTCAAAATAACATTGGTGCTTAGGCATGCAATTTACAAAAATGACAAGGAAGGGTGGTACTTTTTCCAAGGTGAATGCAAGTTGACTGATTAGCTGGTATTTTAACTTAGATTCTTGCAAATTACAGACATAAGAAACCCTGCAATTTATATGTACTTTGGAAGTGAAAGCTTTAATCCCGTGACTCAGGAAAGTAAAGTGGTAATAATTTAAGTACCATATTTTATTTATCCCTCAGGGTTGTCAGCTGATACAAGAAGTATTTCCACTATTTTGGGGTTGCTGCCTTTGGCTACCTAATTGCTTCTTAGGAAGTAAGAGGGAAATTGCTTCTATAACTACATGGAGAGTCTTTGGCAACATCGAGCCAAGGCATCAATCAGTCCATCTGGGTAAAATCACAAGCTGACTCCGATATTGCTAAATATTTATACTGTCAAATACACACAGACATCCAGATGAAAAGAGGCATTCATTACGAATTCTCCAGCTTGTCAGTTTAAAGATGTAGATTAGAGCAAAACCTCCCACTATGGTACTGTGTGCTCAAGAAAAGTCTATATTTAGCCATTCTGAGCAATAAATATCATCATATTGCCTCATTTAGGTAAATAGAGAATAAATATTGTCAAGATGATCTAGAGATAATGTAAACAGACCCCTGTTCAGAGTCTTGTTGCAGGGAATTCCAGGACAGTGATGTGCTGGCGACGCTTTGGGGTCTGACCCGTTTTCCTAATCACGTACCCCTCCCCTTTTTTGGTAGCAAAGATGTGTTACTGACAGATTATGGGGGAAAGATGAAGGGAAAGAAATGAACCACAAAGGTGATTTTAAGTTGTGTGAATCCAAGCACTAATTAGCACTTGTGCCGCAGCATTGTCTTGATAGTCCCCAAGCTGCTGCTGCCAAAAATAGAGATATGTGCATTGGTGCTGCAGCCGCTTCCCAGCTTAGCAAAGCTAGCGAAGCCCTTGGAGCTCAAGGAGCCCGGCAGCCCAGAGGCTTGGGCAGTGTGTGGCAGTCCACCTATGCAGGCTCACCCCAGACTTGGTTTTATACACGTTGTTCTGTGATAAGAGTTCTTACAGAGGGTTGGCCACCAAAGATAAGTGCCATACCTAAACACATCTCAGGTCTGTGCTGAAGAACTACAGGCTCCTTGCACCACAGACAGAGAACATGGTCTTTTCCCAGGGGCACACACTCTTCTCCTCACTGGTAATTGATAATTTTAGAAGTTATACTCGAAGGGAATTTTAACTGATGTCAAAGTTTTAGTTAATTACACTAGATGATTTTTTGAGATTAATAATTAACATCCCTCTTTATAACTAAATATCCATAATTAATCAGCAAATCATAACTTGAAGACTAATTAACTTCAAACTCAAATTCTAACAGAAAAACCCATATTACTCTCCAACATCATTAATTACCAAAGTAATCAAACTTATCTCTCTCGGGTTGTAGCATAAAGCTCTTGGGTTCCTCAGTTTGGCCTTGTGTGCTGAAGGTTTTCCAGAGGACTTGTGGGGCAATGATGAGATTACTGGATTGCTCAGAACTAGTCACATGCTGCCTTAGCAATAAGCACCAGGAAAGCTAGGTGGGAACCCAGCAAAGCAGAAAGTCCCCAGATGGTAGCTTTTCCACAGGAGGTTAGCCCAGGAGTGCTCTGGTGAGAGAGTAATTTGGTTTTGTCTTTAAAACGGAATCAAGCTCTTTTGTCTTTTTTATCTTCCTCACAAAATGCTGGTTGGCTGATTTAAAACAACCTAGTTAGCAAGAGATAGCATGCGGTTAGCAGGCTCACAAAATTTTGTTGTTTTTTTTTTTAACAACAAAAATATGTTAATCATTAAGTGCTAAAAACAACTAAACATGGGTGATGGGAAGAAGAGAAATATTACATACAAGATCAAAAAAAACTACCACGGGTGTCAGTGGCACCCAGTTTTGGAGAACTGGCTGAGGCCACTGCTATGCTGCAGTAGAAAGGCAGCTTTGTAGAGGTTTTCTCTAGAATGTAGCAGTTAACAGTGTAGTTAAAATCTGTGCTTCCATCATTGCACCACCTAGTTTTCAAGTGCATACGTGGAATACTATTCTTTTGTGTGGCAGCTGTAAAAATCCTCAGCAATTTCTACTGTCAAGAAAACTCTGGATAAATAGGGGCTGTTAACTTAGGCAGATATCGGAGGTTATTTGGTGGCAATCAGGAACTCACGGCACTTCAACTAATGGGTTATGATCAGAAACTGTTCCTAATAGCCAGCTAGACGGATCTGAATATGAAGATTTCTATAATTTTGTTGTCAGCTTGTGATGTACTCTAGTGCTAATTATTTGGAACAATTATGTTTCCCTAATAACAAAAGAAGCAGCAGTGAATTAAGCAAGCTCACCTTCATATCTGCAGACAACAGTTCAAATGCACTTCCATTAAGAAATAGAATTTCTTTTTCCTTTGCGGGGCCCTAATTATTTCAGATGCTTGTCTTTTAAAGCCCCTGCCTTACTTCTTCTAAACCTATTCCATGTGTCAGTGTACATGACGACTTCAGTAACTAGTATTTTCTCAGTCTTCGGTTTGTGCCTGTACCTCCCATAGACTGCTTACTTCATTTGGTTATTCAAAAACCATAATTAGTGTAGTAATTAACATGTAGGTCCTTCAGAGGAAGACTGCTAGGATCCTGAGACATCTCTCATCATCCTGACTGATGTGTGGATGATAAAGAGACTGAGGTTGATGTGGTGACAGGATGTGTCCTCCTGCATGGTAACTGTGCTGCAGGGAAATTCAGACAGGACCTTGGTCCACAGGGCCTCACGTTTGGAAAAAGTAATTATCCACACTGTTTCTATAATTCAACTAGGTGTTATCCTGCATTTGCAGCTGTCAAATCATTTGTTTTAAATGATTTTTTAATACCTTATGAATACTTGAAAGTTTTGAGTTTTGCACATTATCTCCTACTTTTTTTAATGCAG